GACCCAGACGGCTTTTTGGCGTCGAACACGGATTGGTCTTTATAACCTTGATCCTTTAGGGATTATATGATCTGTACAGGTACGATTATGAATTATTTCAAAACAATTGTTCGCCTTCGGACTTGTGTTCTCATGCATTATTGTTCAAATTATTTCAACAAATCGGCAAACATGAGTACATCACTCCACTATGGATACCGAATATGGAAGCCAGACGAAATTCTATTCAAATGGACTTGGGTTGGCGAGCATGAATCACAGGAAAAACCTTGGGCCGATCACGGGTGAATACAGGCGGAATAATAATCTCATGCTCCGGCTGGCCTAATTTTGAGGTATCAAAATTTACCAGCCTTTGTGGTTTCTATATCTATTTTATAAAGCGTTAACCGGTCGGATTCTGTATGCAGCTTCCAGTTAATGATAGCTGAAAACAGAAGATACAGCCTAATGCACATCTGGGTTATATCATATCCTTATGGTCGCAAATATTTAGGGGCGGTGTGAGTAATCCAAATCCTCGGCAGTTATAGCGATGGAAAGTTTCTCAACCGATGTAACAAATCTCACGCATGTTTACTTCGCGACATGGGATTCGAAACGATTGCAGGCGCATCAGGTGATTAAACTCAGTTCTCAAAACCTTCATATTGGTTTCTCCCTGTCGAAAGTGGGCTTTTTATCGACTCCTCCGAATTCACAGTCCATTCAGTGAAGAGCGTTGAGTAAAATAGTTAACTTTTGTGCCCATGAATGTACATTCATGTTACCTATAACTGACTGGTGGTTCATTTCAACTATATTAACGTTTTCTTCAATTTAAAAATACCTCTCACACAATTGCACCGTATATTTATTGAATAGCAAACATTATAATCAACCTTGTATCTTTTGCCGTCGTCCTTAAAACGGAGCTATAAAATTGAAACAATATGGGACTCTCCCCTTCCCCTCAAACTAACAGTATCAACTTGTGAAACACCTACTCCCCATGAAAACATCTGGAACACAGATGTGTCTATTTCGGACTAGAGCGTCTAATTCCACCAATGTTACAAAATATTCATACTACATGCATCCATTTCATTTGCAGGCCGACGATGAGGAGAAACCTCACACAAATGCCCTGATTGACGAATTCAAAACAGTGGGCACAGAAGCCCTTCGCAGTGCTCGAGGTCGTTGGAAGGATATCGAAAGTGGGAAAGTGGAAAGTGTTGATTTAGGCGAACGACCAAAAATCGATATACGTGGTGAGGTAGGTGCCAAACACGAGTGTGCTTCAATAACACACTGTCATCATTTTCAAGTGCTCTTTTTTACCGAAATTCCGACATTCCGAGCACTAAACTCAGTGGTATTTACTGCATTAGTTAAGGAACAAAACGCCACCAACCGTCAGAAAACTAATCATTCACATTCAAACAAACTGGATGCATTGCCCATCAGATATATTTCACCTAGATTTATCAGTTGCTGAAATGAATGATTTAAACTAATGAAAGTGAAGCAGGGCTTTCCGAAATCAGTTGCAAAGGAAAAGTCCGTATCGCAATACTGCATGACTTACGTTCACGACGATTTCGCTGCATCCCAAAATGATGCATGATGCAGAAAACACAAGATTTATATGGGTTTTCTGCACGACAACAGAGTCAATAAGAATACAATACAACAGACACATTAAATAAGAGAGAGGTAAAAGCAGGACCATGTCTTTAAGATAAGGACAACCCAACATACAGTTTTTTACGAGACCGGATGGCTGGTTTGCGTTGGTCGATAGCGATGGCGTCCGTAAATTTTAGCACTCTTGTGATTCGTCACTTTTACACAATCCGAAGCACCATGCTTCGGTCTTTGGATAATCATAAGATGTCGAGCTATGGGTTTTTGTGGTTTCAATCATTGTTTCTGCAGTATGTGCCATGTTGAGATGAAGCGAAATCGTACTGGACAAAAACTGTGCATTATTGTGACATAGTCTTTCCTTTTACAATAAATTTTTTTTCTGATTCAGACTACCTATGTGTTCAATGCGGTTGTGAGTATCTTAACTTCCGTATTTCCTCCCTACGTATACACAAATTTGGGCATTGTTTAGTCCTCTAATAGATTTGTTTTAAACATTTTACAGTTTCACGGTGATTTTCGTCCTATACATAGAATTGGAAAATTGAACTGAAAAGCTGGAAAGCCTCGCACAGCTGTTTCCACCTTGCTTGGGGTTTGATAAGCTGTGCGAATCTATTGATATAACTAGGGTTAGGACCCGCGAATTCACAGGTAAAGCCCGAATACCATACCCACCCGATCATCGGACAGCTGATCAGACAGATTCACTTTGTCTGAGCATGCTATATCACCACCCATTTTGCAAGCTTGTTGTAGGCATTGTATCTTGCTCACTTTATCACTTGCTTCATGAGCAATGACTTTTCCGGGAACATTCCTGCTATATACACNGTTCAATCACGTGATGCAGTTACTCATGGCCGAAACTAACCAGGCTGGTTTGTCCGTTAGCCCGCTTGACCTAGTTTTAGGCCACCGTCTAATCGATCCATGCATCCTCATAAATGTTCGCTAAATCGTTCTCCCAGTTCCGATCAAACTGCTGTCTTGAGCGTCTCAGTCTTAATAGTTCCAAACCTGACTACATGGTACAATGGAGTAGTAATGAATCCGCTGTGCCCATGATTGCCAATTCATTCCACTAGCGGTAAATAGCCAGTTCTTTTCCGACTGATTTCAGAATTACAGCTAACCAGTTCTGTATTATGGGCTATGGTGAGCTGCATATGACAAGAATTGTGAGCGCAGCGTTTATACGTGTTTCTATAACATCGTCGTGAACCTATGGTCTGAGCATGTGCTCCCATTGGTCTTAATGGTTCAAAGCGATAAACTGGATGACGTGATCTTGGTTTAAGTTCCCAACGGTTTTAGACAATTTGTTCGTAATGATGGCCACTTTGATTTCCCCCATTGAACTCCGTGTCGTATACTACTGCAGCAGCTGTTTAAGCCGAAGAGCACACTTTATCTCTGGATGTGTCCTCCCTTTTACCTTTTGAGGAAACCACAGACTACCTCTGAGGTCAGACGGAACGCAGATGCGAGTATAGGGTTACCTATTGAGGACCTTTGTAATGTATTTCATTTAAATATACATGGACCTCACTACGGAGACTCGCTTCAGCGGCTAATGTGACGAAACGTTACTGCCAGCCAAATCGATTGAGCGTGCAATTCGCCGCGGTAGGGCGCTCAGAAATGACTTAATGGGTTCACATTTTTAACATCAGGGTTGACCATGTGAAACGAGAGATGTATCAGAGCAAACTATCAAGTAAAACATTTCTAAAACTATGGGTTTATATTCGTCCAAATCGTAATGTGGACCCTGAACATACCACTGTTGTGGTTTCTGATTTGATTCGCTCTCTACTCTCGGATGGCCACATTACCGGGTCTTGTGCTATTTTATCTTCAATCCTCCAGGCCTGTGTACTTTTAGGACAGAACTTTTATCTAGGTCGACAGGTTGACTTACACCAGCAGTGAAGATTATAACTCTCCGGCTTGATAGTTTACCGCAAAATACAGACAAACTGATCCACCCATCCACGTTAACACTGGTTTTATAACATCCCAAAGTTGCTCTACGAGTTACCTGATACCGGAAACTACGATTTTGCACGTATACAGCTCGGACATTGTTGATCTGCGCACACCTTGGTTGCTTCCAGTCCTTCTTCCTTTCTCGACACCCCGCTACGGCTCTTCGCTAACCGCTTTAGAGCATGTAACTTCATGCAAGTTTCCTCATTCAATCGCTACTAACCGATCACTTCGCACCACTAAAAAACACTAACCTCTCAAAGTAGAACCATCCGAGCACGTTTCCATTGGACGTTCCAACGTTTCTCAACTCAAACCTACCGAATGCGTTTCAATTTTTGACCGGTTGGTGTTCAAACGTTACGCTCATGGGTGAGCTGTTCTGTGACACTTTTCTACTCCTTTTTTCTATTTTAAAGTTTCATCTTAAATCCCTTGTTGTCCGCTTCATTAGAAATCGTCACCAATGATTCAAGCTAATTAAAAAAATGCGATTTCGTGTATTTTCAGCTTATCAGATGTGATTAAACTTTTCTCGAAATGTCCTTCATATTTTAAACTAATCATGTAATTAATGGATATCCCACGTATATTGGTTCAATACTGTGCCACTGAGATTTGTAATCACTATGTGTTTTCTACCACTTGCGCAGTAGCAGTACCCGGATGTTTCAAGTATAGTTCTCTGTCTTGCATTCCTCGCTTACGTTTTGTAGCGTCCAGTTGACTTATTCTCCTCGCGGTGAACAAAAACAACTAAACTTATTCAAACAGCGGGCCGAATTGCCACCTCTCTCACATAAACACACCTATTTAACTACGGCGAGAATAACTTCTTAACTGAAGACACGTTCCATTATTGCATTATGCCCTATCCCCTTGGAGATGTTGCGGTATAACGCTCGTGTTTGACAAAATAAAATAATGAGCATATCCGACAAGATTCACTTAAAGGGTTAGACCTAATGGCGGTCATTTTACCGTCAATGCTCCATCTGCTTGACAATTCCAAGCTCATTCAACAAGCACGTGCTTAGAAACGCGTTCGTTTCCCGGCCAAGTGAACATTGTCAAACATTCTAGCTAGAACATTTGAACGGATAATTGATTGTTCCAAAATTTACTTTTAAAAGATATCCAAAATATCAGAATAGCAAGATTGGATTAACCCATTCGATTGTTCAGACGCACTGCTGACGAGTCCCAAACAGGACGAAACAGATGTCCAGTGCTCTTTGTTGGTTATCAGATACATTTCTATCCCATGTAAATATATCCAAAATAGGTTACAAAATCCAAATGGGTGCAGCCAAATGGAGAGCAAGAAACAAAATTAAAAACCGCTTCTACGTGGAGCGCGCTGTCCGTAACGTTCATCTTTTGACCATAATCTCTCAGCCTGGCCAGCCAGCCCACGGGAACATAGTTGGTCATATAGGATTGTTAAAGATCACCGAATCTCCTCCCCGGAGAACGTGTGTTCGAATCCCACCACCATCGTTGACTATCTTTACTCATTCTGTTATATGGAAACCCTTTGATTGATAAATTGCAGTTTATCAGTATCAGTTTGATTATAAAATCACGCGTGACATTGCACTTCAAAAGCAACTCTTGATGCAAGTTTAAATGTATGAATATCTCAAATGGAGCGGGTTACCAATGCAACGTGAAAACCTGTTGTATTAGATATCGGGTGGTCAAAGGCACGTTACTTTGTTGTGATCTTTGACAAGAAATAATGAAGTGTCTGGTTGAAACCCAATTTTAACTATACGAGAAATGGGTGAATTGTCTGTTTTTGAAAAACAAATTGCATGCAACAATAAATTCGAGGCTACAAACATTCGTTCTCGAGGTGCTATCGATCAAATACCTTCCCGCTAGAAGCACTCAATTCTTTTCAAACGCACAAGAAAAAGAAATAAGTTCATGCAGAAAATTATGTTCTGGAAGTCAGAACACAGCAACAAACTTTTCTATCTACCACAAAATATCCCATGGAGTGTAACAAGCTCGCCCTGCTCCATGGTTCCCTTCTTCGTCAAACTCCCCAACTGTTCACTCTATCGCCAAAATTTCTCAGGGTTACGGAGGAGTCTATGAGAACGAGCCTGAGAAATTTGAGAATATTGCTCGGGCTGGTGAGCCCAAACATGAGCTGCCGTCCGGAATCAGTGCCAAAGAACGACGTGAGGAATTTCTGCGAAAAGCACATGAATCCTCGGTTGTGAAGAAAGAGCCGACCAAAGTAGGTTTCATCCTGATGCGTACAATATTTTCCTCGTTGTCTGGTGATCCCGTTGCTAGTCACACCAGCGACCCAGTTCGTATCAGTTTGCCTTGATTGACACGCGATTATATCGACCACACTCTTTTTTCAAGCACGGGGTCTATACGCTTGCTAGTAGTCTGTGGATTGTTCATGATATCTGTTGAATGATTTAATTGCATGCAGCTGATTCGGTGTGTAAATTGACTGACCCGGAGGATTACGTAGCATTATCAGAAAGAATAATACAAACCGGGATAACATCATGAGGGTGATGTAGAGGTATGTGTTGTTTTGCACTGGTTTTCCTCTTTCTAAACTGCAGTGGACATCAAGAATAGCTCTGAGTAATCAGTTTTTCGGGGGAGAAATGGATGATTTGATTTGATGATGAATTCTTCGTGTAAATGAGGCGTGAGATGAAAAGCTAGGAAGCACTGGACAGCTGTTTCAACCTGACTGGGTCTCATCAGCAAAGCGAATCCATCGATCCACCTGGCGATCAAATCCGGGACCTCATGCGCAGAACGGAAGCATGCTACCCACTCGGCCACTGGGCAGCTGATCAGACCGTTTCTCATTTTGAATATACACGATATAGCACAACCCATCTTCGCGAGCTTGTTGCGGTAGTAGACTTTGCTCATTTCGGTACTAGACATCCGGGTTATGACTCGGTTGGAAACTTTCACAACCTGAGTATTTGCATGTTGCAGATTGCTGATAAGATGCAACCAGGTCAAAAAAGCTGTTCAGGGCTTCCCAGCTCACGTCTCATTCAAACGATCAATTCATCATCAGAACAAATCAAATTCTCCATTTCTCCCATGAAACCAATAATCAGGTTGTGAAAGCTTACAAATAAGTCATATCCCTGGAGGCTAGATCTGAGATGAGCGAGAACCGATGCTCGCAACAATCTCGCATAGACTGGCTGTGTTACATCGTGTAAATTCAAAATGAGAACCGATCTGATCAGCTGCCCAGTGGCCGAGTGGGTAGCATGCTTCCGTCCTGCGCATGAGGTCCCGGATTTGATCGCCAGGTGGGTCAATGGATTCGCTTTGCTGATGAGACCCAGTCAGGTTGAAACAGCTGTCCAGTGCTTCCTAGCTTTTCATCTCACGCCTCATTTACATGACGAATTAATAAATTTTCGGTCATTATTTGCACTGCCAATAGTTAGATGTGCGTGAACCAATAAGAGGCGGCCTGAGTGGTTAATATTCGTGCCCCAGTTATCCTAGATGAGGATTGTTCATCAGCGAATGAAACCACTTTATCTCGAACCTCTGATGGTTGTAGATTGGTTCTCTATAGTCAATAGCTGGTATGCTGCGACTCAAGTTACATTTCCACGACAAGTTTAGGGCATGAGAAATGTGTAAGGTTATAAACATATGTATTCGGAGTTGAAGGCATAACAGTGAACCAATTTTTATTCGGATTGAACTCACACAGTTCATTGTCGGAACTGCTCGGTGAAAAGTGAAATTCTTATGAATAAACCGTTATTCAGACTCCATCTTCGTGCATCATTGTCACTTCATGCATTCTACTAGACACTTGGGAAAATACAAATGGAATTTCTCTCCTAAGAGAGCTCCTGAGTAACACATAGGTACCGACCACCGGGAATTTGAATTGCAAACCACTCATATAAAAGGTGTATCGGTTACCGCTTTGCTACCAGTTCTCGCAAGGGTACACCAGAATTACCAATGTTAGATGTTATCGTTAACCAGTTCATTTGAATTGACGGCAACGAGGGAAGCCGTTAATTCTCTGCTAACTCCAGTCGAAAGTCCTACCACAATCACAAATGCACTGAAAAGCCAAAGGTAACCAACTGGACTAGATTTCTGTTGTTTTTTTAACCTGCAGTTACTTTTAATTAGATATGTGGGTCAAATAATATGGATTGATTCTTTTAAGTTCCACAAACTTTACCCCATTTGGAGTACCCTCATCAGTGAATAGATGCGAAAGATTATATCACAGAAGCCTCAAATAAGTTTCTGAAATGACCATTTTGTTGTTAGTGAAATAGGAACAGTTTGGATCCGGTTGGATTGCCTTTTTCTTCGGTGCGGTACACACGGCAGGTATATTATTTCCCCCCACCATCCGTTTGTCGGCATGTGACCCGTTGTCAAAGGGGTCGTACGGTATGTGTATAACCGTCCCCCTATTCTGATCTGTCGGTTGAATGAACCCCTCCCCCCACCTTCCCTCCTCAAGTTGGGGATACATCTGCTGACGGTTTTTCGTAGTGTTCCTTCTTGTATGGGAAACCTAGGTCAGCGCTGTTGATACCTGTACACTCGGCACGCATGGACTGCAACACACCCACTTGACTAGCAAGCATGCTTTCCCAATTGGTTGACTCGATTACTGGCATGTTTAAACCGATGTGGGTGTGAGGCTATACAGTGTCGAAAACAGCTGGTACAGATCGTAGTACATCTCGTGGTATAACAACTGAATACTTTGTGACACGTGTGATTGTAGTAGACGCACACGGATGGACCCTTTGACTTCATTATCAATAAACACTCATGAGCGTTTTACAGGCGGAGATATGAATTACTGAGAAAGCTGTTTACCATCGAAATCGTGCTGTAAGGTACGGCAATACCAGTAATAACAGTAACAGATTAAACAACCAACTGTCAGCTTTTTGTTGTTAGTATGCGGACAGGATTGCTCATTCACCTGAGTTAAGAATTACTCGTTAGATGACGCACTATTTTGGGACACAATTTGACAACCCGGAAAAATCTCATCTTAATTCGTGTTATTGTGAAAGTATTTATTTAGTTATAAAAAGAGAAAACTGTGATGTTAGGGAGCTCATGCAGCCGTGAAATACAAAATGGTGGCACATTTAGNACTGAATACTTTGTGACACGTGTGATTGTAGTAGACGCACACGGATGGACAAATTGAATGCTCAACTGACCTCGTTCATATCCCCGACCAATGTGAACATCCGAATAAGTCCGATGACTGAGACACCAAAAACCAGAAAGCCATAGGCAAATACACACCCCCACACACGGTGAAGCATACATACTATGCCGTCATGTGTGTGTGTTTCTTTTGACAGATCGATATCAATGCGGCCGAGAGTGGAATTTACGAGAACGAGCCGGCACGACGAGATGATGTGGTTCGTTACGATGATGAACAGACTCACGACTATCCACCGACCACAGCCAAATGGGCATCTGAGGCTAAAAATCGATTTATGCAGGAAGCGTCAAAAGCGCAAGAACGAGTTCAACGAACACAGGTGGGTAGAAGTACTCGGTCCTGCGGTCGTTGTGTACCTGGCCCAACGCTGACCGTGTTTCTTTCATTGATGATACTATTGCTCGATATTATGGTTGGAAGATATTCATTGGGCTGTAATCCAAGCCAGCTATCTATCATTGAGACTCATCGTTGTATGTTCATAACAAATGACAATTTTAATATGGGTTTTCCGTCAACAGGTGTAACATTTCTTTCGGTCTATGTGGCAACTATAGTTACCATTTTTCTGACAACCTGTGAGTAGACTCAACTGATTACGGAGAAAATGTGTGTCTCTTAACATGTTGAACCACCATTTGTGTGTTGTATGGCAACCCTCTGATTGGTCGCTTCCCCCTTCCTGAAAATTGTATCTTTGTATATTCAATAAAAGGAAGTAAAATGAAAAAGAAAAGAATATTTCCCCAAAAATTTTGCAGTCAATTCATTCTAGTCATAAACACAACGGGGATAAAGACTTATTTATGAGTGTACAAGAAACGACTGCCCATTGGTGATCTGTTCCGCGCTGACAACATATGAAAAGATGCACCGTTCGTAACCGAGATGCAACTTCAGCGAATAACTTTTAGCTCTCTAGCCCATGGGGAAAAGCGTATAAAATTCGTTTTGGAGCAAAAAATAGAGAACATAGGCTTAAATCACTAGTGTAATTTTGGTTCTTGGGTCTCCAGTCCGAAAGGAACCTCAAGTGGGTGATTCTTCACTTCAAGTAGCAGAGCTCAGATGATCGATTATTGCAACAGAGAAACGGAGATCAAGTGGTGATGGCGACGCCCCTTCCCCTGCTGCTGCTATTTGTCAGATAGTCTATGATTCAAATTACTAAATTCAATTTGGATTTGTACAACCGTTCCATAAAAATTCCCATGCTTATAAAGATGTTTCCGTTTGAGCTTCTGGTCGCGAAGTATATACCCAAACCAAACTATTTTAATTTCTGGACAAACCATTTTCCGTGAGGACTATGGTTATAAAGAATTGACAACAAGAAATCATGTCTATTGTAGATCGGGAATAGAAAGAGAGAAATCAAGCCACTTGACCTGAGTTTATGATGTCGACTAGCATGTAAGTATGGAACGTGGTGTACGAGTATCCCTGTACTATCACACTTGTTGTTGTTGTTGTTGTTGTTGTTGTTGTTGTTGTTGTTGTTGTTGTTGTTGTTGTTNACAGTAGCGAACAGAGTGGGTATTCGATAACTTCTTCCTTGGTCAAATACAAATCTCCATCGGGTTCAGATTAGTGTCATAGTCTAATATTATGAACATGATTGGTTGATTATGATGTTGTGTTGTGTTGGTTGGAATTGAAGAAGCAGAGTTATTACACTTGTTGTTGTTGTTGTTGTTGTTGTTGTTGTTGTTGTTGTTGTTGTTGTTGTTGTTGTTGTTGACACTTAACGATCGGGTTGCCACCATTTTAGGCATACAGTCTGTTTATCCTCGATGTGCCGTACTCACGCATGTGATAAAAATATTTTCAGTTTCTAACCTGATTGGGCACAGCAGTTGGTGATATTTGCATGCCGCTACATGTACGGTTCGAAATCAATTTGCATAAACCGTCTGGCATGCTTCTAAATCGCCCAATAATATGGTGTCTGTTTGGTTGAAAATTTCATGGAAGTAATATTTTTCGTCACAGTAGATTTGACATACGCATCAGGGAGATGCGACAAGCCACCTATAAACAAATGTGACACGATCCAGCCAAGCCAATAGTGATATCGGCTCAACCTCCATGTGTCAAACCTTTGCTTATCCACTCTGACACCTCTGTCCTTCCACTCCCCCTCTCACCACCCGGCGGAACAAATGGCTCCAAACCGAACTGCAGCCTGTGTCAGATACTAATACCTCCGGACCCGGAGTTGCCACACAGGCAAAACAAGCACTATTGGAGAAGAAGAAACAAGAAGAAGAAGCTGCCAAGAACAAGGCCAGACCGGATATTGTAAGTATCATATACATACACACATAAATAAGGAACTATTGATTGATTCGATCAACCTCAGTGCCCCTTTCACTTTCCATGCTTTGTTCTACTTCAGACTACCTGTCATTTGTTTGTACACTGGTTACAAACAGCTAGAATACAAGACAACTGTGTGGAAAAATTCAATATGCACGAGGGATTTTCTTTTCAATATCATACCACCATACTAATTTCTTCTATGAACCCTAAGAGCACCATCACATTTTTTTACACTCCTAAGTGTGATGAACAGCAGACGGGGTAAAAGCCATAGTCACGAAGACCTGCTGTTCAGTGGTGGAAACCAGCAACCTAACCCCCGGGACTTGGAGTGGTGAACCACATAAGGCCCCTTATAGGTTAGGTGTGGTATTAAACCGGACGACAGCAGAGATGTCTACCACCAAATTTGTTTGCGGTGGCGGGGCTCGAACCTCGGATCATAAGGTCCAACGCACATCGGTGACAGCGACTAAACCACTGCGCCATCACCACCCCAAAACCAAACTTGGTAGGTCCAGCTATCAACATTACTCTGACTGGGGATGTAAATGTGAAAGTTGACAGGGCAGATATATCTCACCTGGCATACGCATCACGTGTGAAGTGTCGGTGCGCATGTAGAAAGCTCGGCTGGCACTTGCTCAACTGAGACGGTGAACATTTTCAGATAAATGACACCACGGAAAGGGCTACTGTAGATTCATAAGTGAACATACAAGAATCGCATCGAGGCTACTGGAATTTTCAAAATTTAAAATAAATTATAAATTATATTGCCAAACAACACAATTTGAACTTTTAAGCCAATCACGAAGATCAGCTGATTGATTTAAATGAAACCGTTAGCAGTATTTATCGCATTATTCTTTTCTATGTGGTTTTCTAGTGTTTGCCACGTTCAGATTCCTCTGACGCCGTCGCGACATCCGGGTGTTTGTAAAGGTTCCAATGTATGCTGAAGCAGTTCGACCACTGCATACACTTAGCCCAATACGGGAACAAGATAAAGGTGGACTGGTAGGACAACTGGACATGTAATATTGGGGTTCAGAGCAGAGCTCCAGGTAACCACAGTCGTCCTTAAGGAGCAATTGGTCGAGCGCCGGAGATTACGCGAGTTGGGGCATGCGTTACGCGTGTCATTAAATAGATTTCTACGGCAACTTATGACTGAAAATTGTCAAGGGTGCTCAAACTAAGACTTGGCTTAAGGGTTTGAAGATCACTACCAGGAAACTTGCTCATATAAGTTGCCTAGGACTTCTTGGATGCTAAAATCGGGACCGATGTAGCCGATGGTCAGAGACAGTGGATGATACGACTAAATGTCGCAAATAGTCGAGGTTGTACATCTTCTCAATCTCTTTGCAACCCTAATTTACCTGAACACTGTGTTTTCACCGTGACACGGTCATCAACATTTCAATTTTCGTTCTTCTGCGTCACCTAAGTGGGCAGCCAAAAGACAATAAACAAAACCACCGCAATAAAATGCGTGATTAATTGAAGCATTTAGATCCCGTAGTGAGTTTGAACAGGCAAGTCACAAGACACACTGCGAGAGGAACTCCTAATTAATTATTTTATAAGCTCAAACTGAAACTGAATGTTATTATGATGAACCGTTCAATGGTGGTATCTTGGCGAGATACCAATAAGGAGCAACTATATGTTTGATTAGGGAAGATTAAAGAAGTTTACCATCCGAAAACTGAGTTAGTTTGTTCTCCATGCACCATGATTTCGATTTCCAAGTGATACGGTTACTGGATCCATCTCATAAAAATCCTCGCAATAAAGTCCAATGTCAGTCGTTTATTTCTGACCCCGTGCCAACAGCCGACCTCAATTATTGATTTAAGTTGACGAAAATTGTAGAATGCTTATCAAATGAATAAACGAGAACAGTAATTCTTTCTTTCTTTGAGTGAAATACAAAGTTCAAAAAATAATTTCACAAATCATAGATGTAATTTTCAAGTTCACCCCTTCCCAAGATCCAACGGTACCCTTTCGGTTTTGCTACGTTTTTAACCCCAGATAATGTAACTTGACACACTTTCCTGCAAATAATTATAAGTCCTTCTTCGGCAAGATAAAACATCAAGCGTTCAGAGGAGACAAGTTCCCAAGTACAAATCAGTAGTTCACTTGAAACCTATTTCTTTTACGTTATTTTTGCTATCTTTGTTCGATTGTGTTTTAGATCGATATCTGGGGTGAACAGTGCGCTCACAGTGGTGTCTTCGAGAACACACCAGCTGCTCGATCCGCGGATGTTGTGGCCGGTCATGATTCCGAGGAAAGTGAAGTTGAGGAGTCAGAAGAAGAGGAATAGATTTTTTGCCGATTCCTCTGTCCCTCGTGTTTATCCCATTCATCACTAACCCCACCACTACCACCGCCACCACCACTCCGACCATCTCCCGCCTTTCCATCTATGTTTGCATCACCAAGTCACTGTGTCCCTCTCCCGCACTGTTCCCCGCCCCTTGCCGCGGAGTTGAACAAAACGCTATTACAGCAGCTCCATGGGCAGTCGTGAAACCAACGGTACGAGCCACCTCTGGATAAAATGCACTTTCCCATCCGCTTCCGTTTTACCTGTTCGAAATTCCCATGGAATAGACTTAACTGCTGCTGCTGCCACCGATGCCAAACTTGTTTTGGTTCTTATGTCGTATAGCATAACGTGTCGAATGTCGAAATAAAAATCTGCATTGAATCATACTGACGTGATTTAATCAGTTACACATACAATTGCACACATACATACACACTTTCTGTTATGGTTGTTCTATCCGCTCCGCTCTCCGCTCGTGGAATTGGGGACAACAGGATCGTCGTGATCTGCGTCTGACTCATCGCATGCATGATAACAGCTTGATCTTCTTAATTGATCGAACGAATTCAAACACACGAAAGCGATGCGACCTGGGGGAGTGAGGGAGTGAAGCTCTCTTCCAGCGCAGTCCGAGACGCGAGGAACCTGAAAACTTAATTTTCTGACTGCCCGTTTCTTATTGGTTCTTCTGAACAGACAAATGAAATAAAAAACAATTTCATTTACCATGGCCCTTTCTGATTCCCATCGATTTGCTTCTAATTTTACCAAATTGTTTTTTTTCCAGTTTTTATGACCTTCGGGTGCAATTCGGTCAGTCACGGAGAAGCATAGACTACTTCGCTAAACAAACACTCAAAATCCGACCTGATTTGATTTTTGATTCTGTCTTTATTTGCTTCAAGAATGAGTGATACGAGTATTATTGAACCGGGGTGAGAATAAACTTCCGGTACATCTTGAAGCCGCTATCTTCCATTCATCGTTTTCTTTTGCCTGTTCGTTTTATCCACATCCGTTCTGTTGATGTTACTCCTACAATGACTACACACACAGGGAAACCTCCGATGCAGTCTGTTTCCCCACTCTCTCGTTCGCTCGCTCGTCCACGACCGTCGGTCAACACAAGCAGCCCCGTACGTTGTTCCCGTATCTCATTTCCGTGCGCAGGTTTTGTTCACGATTCCAGCCGAGATCGGCCTTGAGTTGTACACATCGCTCGAGCTGTTATTTACCGGTTCTATCTCATATAAATATATATGAATATATGAATATATATATATATTTGCACGACGTAAGAATAAATTCAACGTTTTTTCTTTGTGTATTTGATTTTTAAACATGCCCGGTATTATTCATCGTACTAAATAACACCATAAACTTCGCTTATCCCAACGGGCCTCAGAGACAGGGTAAGCAAGTAGAAACCTGGACAAGTAAACGTTTGCAAGGTAATGAGCCATTTTCCATACAAATGAAATCGTCCGGTTGTACATCCACGTTTCTCTTTAACCTACATTTTGAACGCCAGAATGAACACTGGAAGGTATGAGGGAAAGGGAATGGAACTCTTCCTCCGGAAATAAAAGCATGCAGCTGTGCTAGGCTCTTAGCCCTAGTAGATCTTCGCTCACATCGCAAAGTTATTTGATAGTGCGAAAGGAACAGATTGTTTTATTCCTAATTTTAAACCTCATGAGCCACCTACGAAAAACAGTAAGGTGCTCAATCCATACTCACACGTTGTTGAACTCGCGTGGTAAAAGATCATTTGAGGAATTGAACGTTGGTATCGACCAGCGAACAAGTAAACAGTGATGTATTCGACATTTCAGTTCTCCTCGAGTTGCAGTACACCTGAAAGCTGAACTAAAGCAGATTAGGACACTCAAAATACGATATAATCCTACTGTTGTTACCGCATCGCCGTTCTGTCCAAATTGTGAACTCACGTGACTAGAAATGGATTTTCCCGCTTTCTCAACTTTCAATTTCAAACAGGTTTTCTTAGCTTGTGATATAACACTACTTTGAAATTACTAACTCCTCCGCTGACCTGGTGAATCTAGTCACATACACTTGCGGTACCAAAAAGTGATCTCGCTTTTCTCGTTTTACAACATAAATAACAGAACCATAGGCAGAGAAAGATTGCGGGCAAAATCATTCACCGAACACAATGGTTACCAAGACTTTATCTATAACTTTGCAAAACTGATGTATCGTAGAAAAAGTGCCACTGTGGAGTGCGAAATATCATTAACCCAACTTCGAGAGCTATCGTTAAAATGCAATCCGTTGCTCGTCACGTAAGATTTACGAGACAATCATGCTTCAGATATGTTAGGCGATGTTGTATTGTACAACTGTACAACAACCCAACTCAATATTCACTTAGAAAACGGTAGTTGAACGACGATCACCAAGGCGTTGCAGCTTTGTTGAATTCATAGACTCGTCATTTGTTCAACCCCTCAAGATGATGCCTCTCAAGGAGCTACCCGTCACAGTTTCAGGACAACACTTCAGAGGCCAACAGTCTAGACTGAGAAAAAGCCATGCGATTCGAACAGAAATTCCTGTGACGAGAAGAACGCGAACAGCGATTGGTTAATTCCGGTTTAACCAATGATGTGTTGTTGATTTACTTCATTAAATGAACCGCTTATTCTGTCGCTGTATTTTGCTTTTCACTGTCGGTAGCTTCCGGCAGATGATTACCAGTGGTGTTCCGTGCCTCTATTACGACTGTGATTCCGATCCCTAATCCAAATATATTCCAAACACTATGGAATGTCATATGTTTTAATGTCAACAAAGCTGAAACAAGCAAAAATACTCCGGGAACCAGTATTCACTACAGTGCCGAATGAATTAACTTAGAGCTTTTGTAACTTTCTGGTAGACTCACACAGACGTGATGCGAAAAAGAAACAAGAAATTCGACACAATAGGCTTGATCAAGGCACCTACCACTTCAAATCAGGTAAAAAAGGCATCAAAGTTACAGGGATCATTACACTTGGGTGGAGATGTGCGGCGCGCACTTCAAAGATCACAGAACCTTCATTTATAAAGATAAAATCAGTATCGTGGAAAACAGCTAGTCGTATTGGTTACCGGTTTGTATTGGTTCAAGTTAAATCACCTAGAAACCTGAATGGAACTATGTGACACTCAGCAACAAGGAGAAGTTAAATCTCAACGGTCCTCATGGACTCATGTACTACTGGCATGAGCCGAGTGATATTACCTCATCTCTTAGGCGTCGAGGGTTCCATCTCAGTTGACGATTCTCTGGAGAAATTAGATGATTAAATCTTACGGCAAAACCTTGAACGAATTTTTACTCTCTGTGAATCCAGAAAAAGAGATTGAGAACCACGATTTTCCAACGAGATAATGCCTCAATACATAGAGACCATCTCAACAGAATATGTTTCCTGGAACGGAACATAAGGACCCTGCACTGGATTGGTCACAGTCCACATTTTAACGTCATTGAAAGTATTTGGGTTCTTTTGACGAAGCGGGTTTACACAGATGAAAAGGGTTTTCCCACAATCCACTGCTTCGAGACAGTCATCGATCACAAGTGGAAAAGATTTGAAGTTCAAACCACCCGAAACCTGATTCAAAGTTTGTTTGAGCGTTGAGTTTCCTTGTTGACTAATGAAGGTCAGTATGTTTTATACCTACTGGGATATTTTATCAGTTCGCACTGCCAGGAGCGCGTTTTCGGAAATAAACAACTTCAAAAAGGTCAGAATGAAAATATATTAGGTTTCTCTACACTGTAATGGGTCTTGACACCATCATACCAAGGTTGAAAAATCTGTATTTTGATTCCCGAAAAATCGCGGATGGGGCTATTAGCATTTCGCGCCATATAACTCACTCTTGCACCTGTTGTTCTGAGTTTACTTGGGGTTCACAAAATTGTTGGATGTTGGTGTGCAACCGGACTGAGAAAGTCAAAGAATTAACGCCAAAAGATTACGATGTACTTCGGTTTTTCAAGACGGCCGACCGTCTGATTGATGAACCGCTATGTCCGAAAGAACAAATGAGAATCAACGAAGACCGTAATTGCAGACGACCCGGGAATAGGACTGTTCGGTGAAAAGTTAGAACTATCAAGTCTAATCGATTGACTTCGGCAACATTGATTAATAACCTGTCAGACGGTTCAGCCTGCATTCACTTTGAGTTTCGCCTATTCAACAGACATAGATTTCAATCAAGAGGATGAACTCCTGTTCATCGGTTGACTAGATATTTAAAGGTACATCTGATGTAGTCACTGAGTTGGTGTGTGTCTAGGGACAACCATTCGACCTGCTGAACCAGTGTCTTTACTACTCTATTAGGTTCGTCTGAGCAGTGTTTGACATTGATAAAAGTATGTGCTGACTGCAACAACAAAACATAATGAATGTCCAATACGAGTCAGAAGAATCCCCTGATGTGAAGGTCAAACGAGACGGCATCTCTGAACGGCTTCATCAATGAAGATCAAGTTCGCTCGGAATTACCGATCCATCACATCTTGCCGTTGTTGAATACAATCACCAAAGAGATTCTAGAAAACACAAACGGACCTATAAATCGTTCCCTTGTGGTACGAGAATTTCATGCGTATTATAGCACAAAGTGCCTTCTTTTTTCAGCCCATTGGTGTGCTCTCCCCCTGTGTTTTTCGTTCAACCCTCCGATGCTTACAGCGACTCGTTCAAGTTCAACTATAACAAAGCCAATGGTCCTGACAACTTATCGACTTCGGTTGTAAAAGATTGTACTTACACCCTGTCCCAAACAGCTCGAATTATCTTATCCAACTAGTGCTATCACGCAGTAAAATTCCGAATTCGTGGAAGCGAACTCAATCGAAAGTAGGAAATTACGTCCAGTTGCATGCAGGTGGATTACCTTGAAATGTTCCGACTAGCTGCTCTTAGCCAAAATATCCTCGACCGCAAAGTTGTTTATTTTTC